GACCTGGGAAAGATCAACCCTGCATCCTTCTGCTTACCCACCCCGCTCTGAGCAAAAAGGGTTTTAAGAAACCATTGGTTTAAGTGACCAGTTGAAGCAATAGAAACAACAAGGAAATTGCAACTCTGTGCTTTACATGCGGACCTGTCAATTTGTTTATACAAACAAAAACGACAACACTGGGCCACATTGCTTTTGGCACCCAATTTAGCCCTTCGTCCAGGTTCGACTGACTAGACCCACGTCACCCCTGGGCCGCTGGCCGCGCACCCGCTGAGCTTCACGGCGCCATGTGTGGGTTCCAAGTATATAGACCCCCCCTTAGTATACAAATAGAAAAGTAAAACACCGTTCAAAAGGTATTGGAAACCGTACCACTGTCTATTTGAAGACCACTATACCTTCTAAGAAGGTGTTTCGGGTGGGTTTAGAGGGTCCAAATACCTTCTGAGGAGGTACTTGGACCCCTAGGGTGGGGTATGATGGGGGTGGTGACCACCAGCTGGAGCCTGGACCCAAAAGCGTTCCCATTTGGACCGCCCTTCGGCTCATCAAAAGGAGTTGCATCTTTGAGACAGATCTGGTGCCACAATGAATCGTTTTAAACGGCTGGTGTGAAAGACTAACACCACAAGCGAATATAGAAATTACAAAACCTGAAAACCATGGTCCAAACCTGTCAAGCCTGTATGTATGGTCCATGAATGTGCTCTGATACCCCTTGCCAACTAGCCAGCCTAACCATGTCATTGGATGTCCTCGCCTCCAATCCTATCTGCCTGGCGTCTTATTTAAAAAACCAGCCAAGTCTCACTGAAACAATCATGGAAAAATCCTCTTGGGCACTACCTCTTCGGGTCTTGGGAAAAACATGGAAAAACTGGGATGGAGGCTAAGTCTCACTGAGGGATTCTCCAAAACATCCACATAGTCAAACTCCACTTGGTGTTGCCGCAGGATCTCCACGGCCTAAGAAACGGGCGGCCCGGTCGACCGGCGGTCAGCCGGGCCGGCGCCGCCACAAAGCGGTGGAGAAACCGGGGATGACCGTTGACCAGCGTGCGTATGAAGCAGTGCAATAGAAGCGTTTACTGCGTTGTTTTTCTGTGTTGTACAATGAGACCTCAGTAATATGGGTCAAAGTAGTAGGTGAAAAAAAAAGTTAAGAAAAAGCACCAATAAACTCCACGCAAGGAAAAAACACAAATAAACTCCACGCAAGTCACCTTGAATGTTGCACAAACCTGCCTAATTGGTCAACAAATGTCAATGCCTGCCCTGGTCGATTCGTCGTTGGTGCTCCTTCTGCTTGACCAGCGGCCAGTCTGGAAAACCGACATCTGGGCAACTCTGGCGAGCCCTTCATGAACAGCACGGTCTTACTTCTGCTGAGAAGTTCCTCCACCTACAAACATTTAATGGCCCGATCGGCAACACAGAAGCACAACTAGCCGACACCTCTAGCTAAGCAACATGTATGTTTATATATCTTTTATACAAGTTTCATCAAGCTTCAAGAAATAGATGAGGAACGAGCAACCCCCAGGACATGACAAGAAAAACCCACAGAAACCTCTTCTTCCATGTCATTCCTTCAGGGTATTTTCCAGACGGTCTAATTCCTCGAAAGACACGCGAACTCGGCGAACTCATCTACCGCAAGCCGGGCCGCATTGTTCTGTGACGACCATGATCGAATTGGTATTAGGTCAGTTTCTTCTTCCACCATGCAGTGGTTTACCGGACTTCAACGCCATGGACTTCTATGCCCAGTCTGCTGAAAACCACCGCCCCACGCCGCCACCGCCTCCTCTTCCGAAGCCTTTGCAGTGCCTGGCTCCACCGGCGCATGAGCTTTGCTGCGGCAGGGCGGCGGCTCGAGGAACGTGGGGCGGCCAGGGCAGCCTGCCGATCCAGCGGGTCGTGCGTGTTGCGTGGATCAGCACGGTCGCGGGTGAATGCGGACTCTTGATTCATCACCTCCCCATATGAAGAGGTTGTTCAATTCGCCCGTGGAGGGCGCATGATGAACTTTGCTTTTTGGTGAACGTCACCGAAAGGGTGGTCAAAGCCAACCTTTCTTCGTGGGAATTTTCGATACATTGAGTATCTGTGATCTTAGCTGCTGACTTCATTTGGGATCTGTTTGATCATCTGGTGGAAGGCCAGTGATCCTGTACAGAGGGGAAAAGACCCTTCGTGTGCGCGAGAGGCAGAAGAGGTTGTTCAATTCCAATGTGGGGGGGGCATTAATCAATTTGAAGGGCTTGACCCCACCGGACTCGTCAGTGACTGATCTGACACAACACCTTCGCAACAAAGCTCCTCAGTGATCCTCCGTGGCTGGGGGTCTTTGCTGACGGTGATCCTCCGTGCCGTTCACTGGGCCAGGTGTTGACCCTCTTCGAGCTAACGGTATAACACGATAATACGAATTGACTAAACAACATATCGGAAATTCATATATAGTACTGACATAGACAAGGTTGGATTAGGTCCAAAACCTCAAGAAGACACACTGACTAAGGTTGCTAGACTTTCCCAAAGCAAGTATATCTCCCGACAGTTCGATAGTGTCTGCTCCCCCATCACCACAGCTTGACCTGCGACACTGGCTCCAGCTGCCACCGATGCGGCCGCGCGCACGGCCCGCACCGCCCGCGGCAAGTGACGTGCAGGAGGCACGGCACCCAGGATCCGGCGCCAGGTGCGCGAAACCATGAGAGGAAGAGGCTTTCGTGGCCACAGAGGCCACAAGGGCCGCGGGCGCAGTTCAATTTGCAACGAATATCAACGAAGTGGCGAGCCTCACATGTTTGTCCTAAAAACTATCCCAATGAGAGAGGTTGCTGGGTGCCGCACCTTTCGCACAAGTGGGGACTTAGCTGATCTGCCCTTTGTCCCGCACGAGTTCTCGTGTCTTCCTAAGTCTTCCTTTTCACTGCACGGTTCTGTTGATCTCCTGTCTTTGTTGGAGTGCCGTGCTTTTTCAGGCGATACACCCAAATGAGAGCTGGACGTCTCGATGGGGGGTTAATGAACGGTTAATGATAGCAAAGCAGTTGAACCAACTGCAATGATCACGAGTAGATTTTGTCAAAACAAGTTGTTTGCAGTTCCATGACCAAGATGTTTTGTCAAGTCCTTCCATATCCTTCCTGTGTTGTTTCTCAAGCTGAGCCATGCGAGGTGTATGCCCGTCATCTTCATCAATCAGCTGCCCGGCCATCAACTCTACACGTATTTGTGGGTCCCCGCCAGTAGAGCGTAGGAGTCTGACATGTTACATTGCAACCATGTGAGCCTGCTCATTATACCTGAAGTAATTACTGAGTATATCTATTCATCGTAGCAACGTCCGATGGCACACGGACTTGTCTCGCTGTAGATCTATCTACTTGACAAACGTCGCCGTTGAACATGTCTTGGCATTGGTCTCACTGTTACCTGTTACAGCTTTGGGGCAGTGTCTTAAGAAAGCCTACGGATCGAACACCGTTCCTGCGGCGGGATGTTTAAGCCCCGAACCCCCTGAAGATGTATAAATATCTCTCTCCCCGTCAAATGAAAAATGAAAATGAACGTGCAATATATATATATATATTTATCTATTTTGTTGTTTTTAAATATCTTAGCTACCCCTCCCATGCACCCACCTTCCATATATAGTACAACAAGACAAACATGACAAATGACCTAACAGTCAAATATGTGAGTTGAGAGCTTCAAGCAAGTGAGCCACAAGAGCTTGACATATATGTATTATATATAATTATGTAAATTATATATATAGGTAGTCGAAGATGCAAATGTCGGGCCTTTGTTAACAGCCCAGTCAGCATCCGTTCTGGGCAACGCACACTTTTATAAACACCTGGACCTATACCAAATGTCCAGATGCTACCCACATGTCTTTCTGTGTATTCATACGTCTCATACTACTGCGCGGACAGGAGCTTCGCTCAAAACTCTCCAAACGGAATTGTTCTAACACGGCCACCCAGAGGGAAGAACGAGGGCGAAAGGACGAGGAACAAGGGGAAGTACGGCCATGGCACACTCTGCTCGAAGTGGCGAGGGGTGAGTGCTGGCTCCGCGAGAAGTGGCGAGGAAGTGGTGTCTTGACCTGAGTCGGTGTCCTGCCTTTGCCCCTCTTGCGATTGGAAAGCAAGGTGCTGAGGATTGATCGCCTCGTTGCCGCCTCCTTGGATGCCTTCTTTCAGTTGGAGCTTCTACCACTGTGTTCATCACTCGGTGCAAGCAATCTCGTGTGAATGGGTGACGACTCTGATGGATAACAGGAGAAACTGCCTTCTTTGTTCTTCTTTTGCCTGCAGTTCTGCGGTTGGTGGTGGCTTGTAATATTGTATGTTGTTGGCACAGAACCTGATGAGGGGGTCAAATGAAGAAGGGTTTCTCCACGAGCGCAGGACACAAAGACCACAAATACCAAGCACAAAGGTTGTAGCAACACGGCTATGGCAGCTGACGACACTTCACAAGCACAGTTGCAATTGGTATGCCATGGATTTTGGATCCCCAAACGCAAGCCTTTAGTCTACTGGTACTGGTATGTACGGCGTTTTCTGCTTTTGTTGAGGCTGATGTTTCAACATATAACAGATACGTATGTTGGAACTGTGCTTAAAGCATTTGAGAGGCCGCAAGCCGTGCAAGGTCTCCGACTTTGACGGTTGAATATTCTAAAGGCTTTCCTTCAAAAAAACCTTGCGCAACCTGTTAGGTTTGAAGGTTGAAGGACAATTAAAGACTTGAAGATTGCAAAGGTGTTTCTTCGGTTGACCATGCAGGGAGTTACAAGTTGTGTGGCCTCCCAAATGCTTTAAGTACAGGTCAAGTATATGTCCTAAAATGCAAACAACTCCCTCAACATCAGACGCAACACGGCTACATTGTAAACACCAGTGCTGTCTCACACACACAAGCTGGGTGCATGGGGGGTTATATGATATGAATATATAATATATATATATATATATTATATATATGTGTGTGTGTCTGTCTGTCTGTATGCATGCATGTACATACACCTACGCATGTGTGTGTACTGGCCCTGATGCTTCATTCACGTCCCAAGCCGTGGCCGGGTTCGATGGCAGTTCTGTGGCCCCCAACGAGCTTGGGTCAACGCTGCCAGCAGATCGGCACTGGATGTGCACCTGCCGATGACAGGATATATAATTATAAGGAGGTAGCCGAGGACCGCGACAATCTATTTTAAATGAAAGTTGTCGTTCATTTGTCATTATAAAGTATTAGATAGATAAATGAAAGTGCCATTCCACAGGGTCCATCGTCTTCGGGAGTGTACCGCCACCCCAAACGGGCCGGACCTGGGCTTCACAAAGGAACAAGAAACAACACCACCGTTTTTCAACAGCCCATAAGCCTCATGGGTTGTTCAAAAGCCGTGGTGGAGTTTCTTATACCATAAGGCTGGCCACATAGCATCGTTTGAACTGTTCAAATGGTGTCAGCGTTGTTTGGGGCAATCCCTTGTGGTGAACGAAGAACTGGTCCAATAAACTCTCCTGAAGGGCAAACCCTGAGCTGCACATCATACCCTAGAAAACATGCACCGTGACACCTTTGGCTGTAGGTGCTGTAATCAACAGCCCCTATCTCCCGTCGTACCTTCGTTTCGAAGGTGAGACGGGGCGTGGGTTGAGACGCTCCAGTCATACCTTCAGAGTGACAGCGAGTAGTCTCATCTTCTTGGTTCCAAGAAGGGCGGCGATCCCCGGCAAACAAGGCGAGCTAACCACTCAGTGGGCACATCCAGTGAACGTCATGCAGTGAAACCAAAAACCTTGGCACTTGGGTGCAGGAACTTCTCCATCGAATCAAAGGCCGAGGCCTCCTACCTTGGAGAAAAGGATGAAGAAGGAGCACTGTGTATATGTTCTGGGTTTGCTTGAAGCGGGATTGACACAGCTTCGGAAATTTGCCAGAACAGGACCACAAGCTGAAGTCCTGCCCGAAGTGATAGCTCTCACCAGGGCCTCCTGAAGAAAATCACTGGCCCAACATGCCAATTGCATTTGCTGTCCAGGAAGCCGGGACAAAAACATCTTCCGTATCAGGGGATTAACCTGATTAACCATGATTTACCCAGTTCGGGAATCTCAACATCACCCGATCCAAAAATCAACCTGGATTCGTGAGATGATCGGATTGTGATGAACTCTCCAATTTGCAGCTTTACCACTGGCAAACCTCATCTTGATCCCCAACATCCCTCCTTATTAGAACCGGCAAAAAGCTCCCGATTCGGACGGCCTCACCCGCTGCAGGGCTCTCTCGCGCTGCAGTGAAGGTGTCTCTGGCCTGAAGCCGTCCGATGTTCCGGAATCGAAAAACATGAGATCAACGAGTCTGAGCACCTAATTCTCACAGCTTTCCGGAATGGAAAAGGCGCCTGGGCATCCCTTCAACGGAATCTCATCTTCATTCGAAGGGGGTCCCAGCTGCTGGGTCCCTCCGCCAAGGCCAACGACCGTCCAGTTCCGCCCAGGTGCCCCTCTTGCTCGACTAAAAGGTCATCCACCTGACAAGGACACCCGGCGAACGGACGATCTGAACGAACAGCCCCTCCGAGTTCAGATCTTCTGCAAAGGGTTTGACATGGTTTAACCAAACTAGGGGGGCCGGTTTAGTAGTAACATGTGGTAAACTCAGTGAAACTCCCTAAGACTATTCGGGTCTAAAAGTATACCAACAGGAGGTATAGGTATAGAGTAGGTCCAATTTTCTCTGTATAGGGGGTTTTCTCTACCATGCATATTGTGCCCAGAGTGACACATATGCCATTGCCGCGTCTCACCCGGACCGCACAATGAGAGAGATAGTATAGAGTAAGTCGACTGTCACAGTCAGCAATCCACTGACTTGAAGATTCATTCCTACAGGATCCTACAGGTAACTGTTGCTATGTCGGCTGCTTGGTTCGCGATTGCCAGCTGCTTGGTTTGTGCCTGCTCGTTGTAGATCTGCATGGCGCTGGCATCCACCTACCGTGGAGAAAGCAAAGGATGTAGTGTGGCGTCCTGATTGATCAACCACCGCAGATGGATGTCCTAGGTGCTTAGAGGCTGGTAGAGGTGATTTATCGCAACCCTTCTGGGTACTGCAAGGGAATGTTCTGGCTACTGCAAGCGGGTGTCCCACACTTGGAAATATTGGCAAGAAACTTATTCTGCAACGTTGGAAAGGGAACTTCGAAATATCGAAACCGATCAAAGAGAAGGTGTTAGATGCTAAATTTATGGAGCCGCAGTCAATTCTCACCTTGATGACTGCTCAAAGGAGGCTCAACCAAAAGGGAAGTTCCGAAGGGACCAAATGGACCAGGATCCTCTAGACTCTAGATACCCCTCCAAGGAGCTTGGCCCATGCAAGAATCCCAAGACCAAGAATTCACCTCTAAAAGGCATGACACTCCCTGAAATGGAAGTGATTGGCACCACCTGTTTGATATTTGGAAAATGGTCTTCCATTCGGGGCCATGCCATCCACGTAACTACGATGATTCCGGAGAGTGTATAATTATGTAATATAATGTTACAATATAGTCTAATGCAATACAGTATATGGCTGGCCACCCACACAAACAAGCTGCTTCCATACCTTGTTCAATGATATGCCAAACCAACAGCTGCTGGTGCCGCGTCAATCCGGGTACATATCTCGCCGTTAAGCCGTCTGTAAACGGATGGCTATCGTCGCACCTCGTACACTGACCTGGTGTCATTTCGGATGGCGTCCTGGGCCGAAAGGACGGG